AATTTCACTAGTAATTCAATACTAGTTGGCTTAGTCAGAGGGCATGGTTAGGTTTGCTCAGAAAGTATTTGCGTGATATCCGCTAAATTGTAGTGAGAATATTGGTTAATTGCGAAGGGTGGGGTCTTAAACACATATTCCTTAATGACCCCACTTGACCAGTTCACAAGAACTGATGTCTACAATGAAGCTATTGCAGATTAATTTAAATTGTTAAATGCAGTCAACTTTGTGTGTTTCTTATTACCAGATATTTGTGAATTGGAGAGTCAAAATATTAAACTAATTTTTCCTTGTCGAAAATCAACCCTCACCCACTCAGTTTTTAGTTTATCTTCTCTTCCACAGGTAGACTCTTCTTCAAATGGCGTAATTTTTAATTCACTTAAAGTGCTCTGCACAATGTGGTACTAAATTGGAGACTTAATTGTATTAATTATTTCTCTAGTTGGAGCAATGTTATTAAGAAGACCGTTATGGATAAATCATAAACTAACTTCTACTCTGTAGCGCTAATTAGACACACTAATCTTACTCACTACTGAATTACTATATCACCCGCACTCCTAGAAGACATTGTGGAGTTCGTTTCCATTTCCATTGAATATTGAAGTAAGCTGCACTGTCAATATCATCATGATTTATTTGCTGTTATTATGGGATGAAACTTAGAGCATTTCAAGTTGAATGGACATAGCATACGAGCTTAGATAGTTTCAGTGCCTATTCTCAGGTAGGTAAGGAAGAGGATTATCAATGTACCCGATTATGTGCGTTTAATAGGAATCGGTGAACTTGACATTTCAATGTACTCATTTCATTTCCAATTTACAGGTTTCAAGTTTCACCAATCGAGAAAATACGCTTAGTACCTAATTATGTTCTCATAATATGCATTTTTTTCAATTGGCAGGCGTTTTGATAGTTATTATTAGCCCTTTAGCTGACTTGGGGCTTCACAGAAAGAGAGAGGAAAATCAAAGTGTGAAACATTGGAGAGGGAGAACAGAAGAGTGATTCAGAGATGTTAAAGAGACAGGCATAAAGGTAGAGAGTGGGGTAAGGTGAGTACTGTGTAAGTGGTTGAAAATGTCCTGCAATCGGGCCATGGTAGTTTGAAGTCAGACGTTAACTGTCGGTTTATAGACTTTTTTTGGCTTATGAGTATGTGCTGCCCAGGGTCCACCACGTAGAGATAAGTCTATCGCACGCTCCATGTTCATATAATATAAAAGAAAATATTTGAAATTTATTTATTGATGTTAAAATGGGTAGCATTTCACAGACAACTTGCATTATAGGCAATTATGTGCATGCGAGCCATTTCCTTCACGCCATATTGTGACACCAAGTTTTCTTGCTGCTTGCTTTAACTGTAACACACCTGCAATTTCCAAGAATTGTTTGCTTTAGCTCAATTAAACTGAATTTTGTGAAAATAACCTTTACTCTATCTCTAGTTTAAGGAAACTAAACCCTTAAATAGTTAGTTCTGGTTTCACCGGGATTCTCTTCCTATCTGTTAGGCTATAAGTGCATACTTTGAACGGGCTTGAATTCTGGCCTTCAAGATGGTTATTCAGAAGTTCCTGAAAACTTTCAACCATCCCTATGTTTATGTGTACTAGGAATACATCGTTTTTATTCTTCTTATGATTGGCCAATGAATAGCTGCTAGTGGTAAAGATAAAGATTTGGGGAGTACACAGAGACTGAGTACAGGAATTTCTTGCTAACTCGAACAGTCTGTAAGGCGGGTTCGTGCTACTGATGGCATATTAAGAAAGTCTGGTCATGAGTACATGTGCTTCTGAGCCGATCATCAGTCAATAGGCTCAAAATTCTTCTTATAACAGTAATTAATTGCACTTTAATCGCGATTTTTTGTTGAAATGATCGTAGGCTGAAATAAAGGCAATATACTACATACTCTGTTTCCTCGATAGCTTAGACATAGCAAAACTAATTTCGGAAGCAATTGACTTCTGGAAAATTTTTTCAAAGAGGTTTACTGAAGTCTAGTCAAAGATTATTGTGTCGTAGTTGCCACGGATTTAGCTATATTCCGTTGATAACAAAAGAAAAATTTGGTACGATTAGGTATCACGGGTTACTGAAAGACTTCTTGTGATAATGCACCATTCTTCTATGTGTTCCCTCGGTATATATTCAATTGTCATCTGTTAGCAAGTAAATGAATTAACCGTTGGGTTTCATGTTGTTACACTTCTGTCATTACAACAACTACTCCAATCTCAAGGTCAATCATTCTTCCCCCCCCCCTTCCATATAATAATGTGAGTTTTATTTGACACTGTTTTCAACACAAATTGATAATTACCTAATTGATCTTTCCGAGCTGTAAACAGCTATAGAATTGTGCTTGAGCACGTTTGTCATCTTGGTGATGGGAGAGGCGACACCTGCTTGCCAGTACATGTGGCAGTTTAGCACTGTTGTGCAGAAGGGTGAGTCCTTGCAGAGTCATCAAGTGTACGGGTCACAGAACTTTGAGGACTAATGAACTAAAATCATTTCGTAGGAGCTAAGACCATAACTAGCGCCTAACAGTAACAAGTAATAGTTTCACAGAGCTGCTTAAACCAATGGATATTGAATAATTTATCTTTTTCAAATGGCAGGCATTTTGACAGTTATCATGAGCCCTTTAGCTGACTTGGGGCTTCACAAGGGAGGAGGGGGAACACCAAAGTGAAGAAAAGTCGAGAGGGGGACAGAAGTGTGGTTCACAGATGTAAAAGTGACAGACAGGCACAAATGTTGAGTAAAAGGTAAGGCGAGATCTGCTGAAATGGTGGAATATGACTGCCAGTTTATAGACTTTTATGCCGTATGAGTATACGTTGCCCAGGGTGTACCACGTGGAGGTAAGTCTATCACATACCCCAGGATATTGAATAAACCTCGATGGAGATTCGAGGGAGTAAGGGATTCATTGAAACACAAAGAGGGTTTATGTAAGTCAGTTGGACAAGGACTCCGATGAGGGTATTGATGACGCGTGCTCTAAATGGAGTGGAGGAGTTAGTGAATAATTGGGATCGATGAGGACATCACTGTGGCTTCGTGGACCAAAAGTCCTCCTTTGGAAAGCACAAAGCGAACAATCTTTTAGATTCCTGGAATTGACCCCAACTATTAAATCTGTCTTTTGTAGATTAAGGCCTCATGATGTTTTTGGTGTTAAAGGGTATTAAGAAACTCCCACCTATGGCAATTTACCAGTTTTCTACACACCCACGTGCTAATCAAAGCTATCTAAACCAATTTGAAGAAAAGAAAATTTGTAAAATAATTAACTGCCTCTTCATGGCACAAATTTATTAGTTATTGTAAGAGTTATCAAATAACTTGGAATAGTCGTTTAATGACTTATAAAAATCGATATTTTAGTTGCTTATTTTTGAGGGTCATAGCTATTAAGTGGGCATATATTTGTGGTTCAAGATATTGGCCTAGTAACATAACATATCATAAGAGTATAGCACTAAATGTAGCCGCAGACCAAAAACCTAGCTCATACGGATCAGGCTTTCAACTTTTAAGTTATGAGGTCATATGGGATATTTTCAGTCAGCCAATTTTTTTGGGATTGCATTGTGTGAAGAATAAGGATTGACCTTAAGCAATGCACACGGATTGGCAACCAACGTGACATTAATAATGTTGCAAAAAGTTCCGGGTTAAACACGTGATACACAAATTTAGTATTAATGTATCTGAGTTCTGCCATAAAAACACGGGATGTCATTTACAATGCATCTTATTTACTTATTTCTTTGATGTTTTTGAAGAGACATCATCCCCCCCCCCCCCCCAATTGGGTTTCTTGGTGTCATCGACATGTGCTGTATTACAACATGTGAGCAATGATGGGAACTACTGAGGTTCTTTCCAACAAAGAAAATGCAAATGAAGCATTCCTTGCATTACACAACGCTTCCATCAACAAAGAACGAGAATTTAACGGCTTTTGTTTTAGTACTTCAAGCATACTGATATTAAATGATGCACGTATCTTTCCAGGAAAAAAACAGATGCCCATTTCAAATTCATATATTATTCTTCATGAGTGTCCGAAGGCTCAAACCATAATGAGTGACAGTGGCAAAATTGCATTTACTATAAAAAATTGCGTTTTTTCATATTGCTTTCGTGTTTTTCCCAGTGGATAATAAATGACAATATCTCATACTAACAAGCACTCAACCAAATTGTTAATCTCATCATTTCCAATAGTGGTAATATGAAGTCGAGCCGATTTAAATCATAAGTTTGAAGTTTTATAATAGAAGCGCTAGGTAGCTTTCCCCATTAGAAACAAATATTGACTAATTAACTTATTATTCATTGGTTTCCTACTCTGACCCCATGCGATTTCCATCCATAATTAATTTTCTAGCCAAGTAGCCACAGTACAAGAATGTGTGAAAGAAATTTTGATTTTTTTAATGGTTACTTTTGCCTTTTTGGGTTCTTTGCGTAGGAGGTATGAAACGCAGAGCTATTAAATGTGAAAATTAGTCCCGTGACAAACAGGTGAGAATCCCACCTCCTATGTCTCCAAAATTTAAATAACCTTGAATAGCTTAACCTGGCATATGCAATTTCAGATGAGCTTAATGTAGAACATCTTCTTACAAAGGATAATTAAGTTCTTTTTTTGAAAAATATCGACTTAAGTATGATTTTTTTCTCCCTGTTGTCAAGTATATCAGTGTATTTAGTTATAATTCACAAAAGATAATACGATGTGATCAAATATTAGCCAAGTCCACGTCTCGCAGAGAAAATGAAAAGGTCAGTAGTTGAGTTGGTGTTTTTTTTGTATAACAGAGAGCACTTATTCGGGAAAAGAGTATGGAGATTCAATTCACGGAATTTGGGGACAATTTCATCATCTTCTGAAGAAAATAAAGTTGAACTGTTTTAAGGGATCTTTAAAAGGGATACGCAATTGAATCCGATGTCTGCACTTGGAATGAAATTCTGATGTATAACTTTTAGTAATTCTTGTCTTTTATGCATCGTAATATAACTGGAAAGTGAGCATGGAAAGACCTTTTGTGATTGAAGTGTCAAAGGAATAGCGATCTTGTCGATCTTTAAGAATGCTGGTTGTCGTGTTCCAACTGGCAGTGCCGAAAAAAACTCACATTGAAATTCGCTCGCTTTTCTCGTACTAACATGCCCATTTCTTTTCCCACCAAAACAATTGAAAGTAACCAAGAATAGTGAGGTGAGATCTAGTCGAAATCTTATCATTTTGGGTCTACTTGCTCTTGTGTATGTACATTTCATATTAATGGAAAGGCTACAATAATAAATTTAGAGTTTATAAACTAGCAGTTGACTACTGACTTCAAACTACCATGGCTCCCTCCCACTGTATATCATATTCCACCACTTCCCTAGTACTCACTTAACCCTACTCTCTACCTTTTTTGTCTCCTTTACATCTGTGAATCACTCTTCTGTTCCCCTCTCTATCTTTTTGAAGCTTTGATTTTCCTACCATCTGTGAAGCCCGAAGTCAACTTAAGGGTTGATGATAACTATCATTAAGCCTGACATTTGGTATAAGTAAATGAATTTAAAACTTCAAGGTTCCTCTTCATGCTCCTTTCGAAGACTGCTTAACTTCTGTTCCATTAGGTGATGTTTTTGGTTTTTTCGTAAAATTATTGATTTTTTCGATGTCGGAAGACAAACAATCGGAGTACCGTTATTTCTAATATCCTCGATTACTTTGACTCTACTTCTATGACCACAGAATGAAAGGTGGTGCAACCTTAAGGTATTTTTTCAATAACTCATTCCCCCATAAAAAACTTTATTTTTGAATTAAGCGATTACAAAATTTATATTTTTTGTGTTAATATTGTTAATAATGCAGTCAAAATGTAGAATGAATTTGCAAGAGTTTGCTGTGAACACTATACGAATAAACGCGTGGTAAACTTTGGTAATTCTCTTAAAATTCAAAAAAATAACTGCAGACGAATTTGACACCAAAGTCCCCTAATGCAAACTTTGCTCCCACAAGTTCCCAGACAACGTTAGAACACCGAGCATATAGAGCAAAGCGGGTTTTCAGGTGGATCATTAAATGTGATCTGTAAGAGTATTAATCATTGGTTAAGTGAGAAGGCGTTCTGCATGCAACGTGATGGATAGCGCGACCCCACTGTTCACGGTGCTTTATCGCGCGAGATTACTTGATAGTTCTTTGCACTATACAAGTTTGACTTCTTAACAGATGGAACTCAAATATATGCTTTTTTTAAATTAATTAAATGCGCACACAAAAATTTATCATATTCTATTTAATAAATAATGAATAACCACCAAGTATGTTTTCAATTTCACGGATGACTTAAATTAATTAACGAACGTTACTTTAATTTTCTCTCCCCTCAATTGATAGAACTGGGGAATTTTTGATCAAAAAAGTGAAATTTTCAACAAAATTAATCATGTTTTGAGATCCTAATATCCACTCTTAACTAGAAATTAGCTTAAATTTAGAAGTTTACACACCACTCTCCATTATAAGGAAATTTTAAACCCCACAATTCACTTTTCTCTGATCTTCGCATTTTAACAAATTATAGCGAATGGGTGCAAGAATGAACCTTGACTAACCCTCAGCAACCTCTATGGCAAAATCCACCCAGTATGGAATGCCTCTTGAAATTAGCCAAGCTACTCCCAAAGTAACGAGGAGACAGTACATATGGCAAGAATAGCGCTTATTGTCGAGTGCCACAGACATAGAGCTAGCCATTAAAATGAAATTTTAGCTATTCTACCTATGCAATGAATATTGGTTGCTGAATGACTGAGACGTCCTTGAGGGATCAGCAATAAGGCCGCATATGAAGCTTACAAATTTCGTACCACACACCCTTTCAAAGGTATTCGGTGACTCAAATTTAATAGAGTTGTGTTATGCACGAAGTGCACTATTGAAATAAAGTATATAAACCACTAGATAATAGCATTGCTGACGAATAATGATTTAATTATGGCTGAGGATGGAAAAACGATGAACAAGTGAGTTTAAATGGTAATTTAGTGATAACGCCTTCGTCGAATAAAAACTATTGGCAAAATTCCCCTTGGACCTTAATTTGTGACAGTTTAGTAAGAGTACTCAATTCGCAGACGTCCAATGTAATGCTTAGAATTATTATATATGGAATATGACGGCGTTTAACTTCATAAATTTTCCATTAAACTCAATAAGCTACTTAATATAAAACTATTATGGAATCACGGCTAAATGGTAAACGCGGATACTCAAAAGATATATCATTTTTCAGAAACTCGAGCATGTACTTTCGTAATTCATTAGCTACATCTATCTCTTGTGGTCAGATTAGATCGGTAAATTTCGACCTCGTTAACTGGCATCGTTTTCGAACCCCTATAAAAGGCAGATAGATAAGAACTAATTGCTGTTCGAACTCAAATAATACCAATCCGATATTCCCTTAATGGCTCATTTGCCATGCGCCGGAGAGTATCGAATAGTTCTGATTTTCTTCTGAACAACCATTCATAGTTATGTGCATTTTGCTAAAAGTGGATTCTTGGAATCGAAACGCCGACTGATAACCTCTATTGCCTTCAATACAGGCCTAATAGTACTCACACTTGATGTCTTAGTATTGATCGCATCTGTCTTAGAGCATAAAGTGCACCTTCAGCAAACCAATAGCCTTCATTTGAAGCTATTAATGACAAAGTCCAGATGCACATATGCATCATATGCTCAACATAATTGGCTTATTCCGGTAGAAGGTCATGTGTCTTTCACAAATATAAATAGTATTGTCAGTTTGCTTTTCCCATTCATAACAAAGGTAAGATTGGACTTCTCTTAAAATCACGTTATTCTGGGAATTTGCCACTTCAGGTTGACCCCACTGAAACAATACAATTTATTATCTTTTCATTCTTTAATATTTCCTGCACATTTTTCCTTGTTTGAAATTATTTATAATTAGTAAATATTTCTCGTTATGCTGTAAGAATTGTTTTATGAATCCTACATAAGTCGTCTATTTTAATTTAGTTTAGATAAGTGATTTCAATAACATAGGGGAATATTTATGAGTATTTTATCATCTATCAACAGAGCACTTTTTAAATACGAAACGTTTGTATTTGTCTATTTTTTTTAGTTCTGAGTGTGCATATGCAACGCAATCCTAACCTTTACTCAGGAGTAAAAACCAGAAAGTCGGCTCCATTGATTCCCTATCCCCTTTCTACCACTCCCAATGCTCCTCAACTACCCGTGCACAATCAACACGTCCCGTAAATTATTTCATAAAATTATATTTAAGTTCAAGTTCAAAAATGATTAAATAGTTTGATGTTTCAAATTAAAATTTTTTTGCTTATAATCGATTCATATCCTGTCTAATTAAATTGAACAAGCTAGCTAATTTCTCAGTACCATGGCAGCAAATATTTGATTAATTTAAAGTATAAAGTGATTAATACTAGCCTTTTAAAAATTTCAATTCGAAATGCCTTTTTTCATTATTAACCACATTAAGAAGGTGGTTTAAAATTAAACTAGAAGCAGGAAATTTGTCACCAATCAGTTCAGTTTCACCATCTAGTAATCGGTCTATCTTATATTCAAAGGAATTAATTTTGAATCTTCGACTGCTTCCTACAATAGGTTCGACTATTCTCAAGCCACTAAAATGTAGACTTTAGTTTTTATCATAATCGCATTCGGGTTACGTGAAGTCATTTAGGAGATGCAAATGTACTTATATCCCACTTGGAAGGCTTCCGTGACATCTGATTTATTTACATTTCATAGAATTTTCGTCAGCTCAAACAACGCACCATCAAACCGAGAACAAAGCTAAATCAAGTTGAAAGTTTATTGCCAGTTCATTCATGTCTTTACTTGAGATGCTTGCATCCTGTGTCTGCGCTTAGATTGCCAAGTCTATTACACATACAAATTAACAACAACTGCTTTTGATTTAAGTAGTATACTCATTAATAAAAATCGTATTGTTTCTTCTAGGCATTTGCGAAGAGATCAACCTATGCCTCCTACGATAGGATTCAGGTGGGACATAATAAATGGTCCAAATACTACCCCACCCTATCCTGTAATGGACAATGTTGGAATGAGAACTAACACTGCCGACTATTCATTCAAGCCAGTTAACGAGGGCTCAGCGGAGATACGCAACTCGTATAAACCAGACAACACATCATCGAATATCAACGATATTGACAGTTCGGTGTCACACACGACTCCTTCTTCACCCAATGTCAAATTAGCTGCTGACTCCCAGGATCGAGATATATTCACATGTGAACAAATCAAGGTAAATGAAGCCAGACCGCAGCCTCCATTGAGGGGAAATAAAATGCATTTCGCTCGACGTGGTCACCCCTACCCTGTTGAAGCCTATGCCAAAATGAAAGTCCTACCATGTGACCACTTGGGTGGGGATGATTGTACTAAACATTAGTCCCTGCATGTTGGGCATTTTAGTTATTTAAATTTTAACAACTTATTTTGTATAGTCTTATTTTTATCCCTGATACATTTTTCTGTGTCTATAAAACGTATTATAACTAAAATTCTGTTTGTTTCCATAATAAATCGATAAAAATAAAATTTGGTTCCTGAATTGAATTAATTAATTCAATTAATTCCTAAATATGTTGTAGACTAAGATTTGGAGGCTGGATGCGTAGCGCAAGTTTAGATTTGTGGAGTACTCAACAGCCTCATTCAGTGAAATTGATTGACGTAGCTAGCAAACAAGGTCACAAGTGCAAAGACTTCCAAACTAATCAATAGTCAGAACAGAATAAGAGTACCCAAAACCATATTTAAGGACTAATATCTGTCCCATTTGCCCATAGAGAGGAGATTCACCACAGAGCATACAACCTCAATAAACGTTTTCCTCGACATACGTTCTGTTTCCTCCAAATTGTCGAGGTAGCATAACCAGGACGCATCACATTAATTTAATTTTAACAACGATTTTTAAATTTGGGTAAAAAATTAATGATGATAAAACTCATTGTGCGTAATCTATTTTTATAAAGATGAGAATGGAATAACCATTTTTCCTCCAAGACGCATTTGAAAAGTTACCCTTTATTACACTTGCCCTAAATAGGTCATATGGATGCTTGAGAAACTACCTTTTACAAGTCAACCTGCAAAGAAAATATTCTTTCCATCATCGGGCATTAAAAAGCTGATATAAATTTTCAGACAATAAGTAAAGGCGAACATTAGCCATAACACAAACTTGCATGTCCTAATAGCTGAATGTGAGATTTCGACAGGGACTACCATAGAATGTACGATAACGGCGAGACTTTGTGTCTGATATGTTTAAGTATTTCGACAAAATGGTTCTGTAAGTCCTTTACCTTAATATAATTGCACAAATAATTTTAAAACGAAATTAGGAGGAAACGATAAGGTATCTATAATTCAATATTCTGAATTACATTTAGATTTAATGAATGAGCACTAATTCATATAAATGCAAAAGAATCATCCAGTTAGTCTATAATTTAATCTGTTCTACTACTTCTGTATATATAAGACATTTTTAATTATTAAAGGAATATTTCCATTCGATACAAATCAATCAAGGCTTGAAAAGATAAAATTTTATCTGATGATTTCGTGACATCTTCCGTATTCATCATAAAAGTTCTGAATACTGAACATCAACGAAAGACTTCACGGACAAAATTGGATGCTGTTATGAAAACATTACTTACTGACGAAGCGTAGAAAATAAGAAAAGTGCGGTTGAATGGGTATTATGCTTAAAACACTCTTTAAAATGAGCTAATTATTTATTGATACCAGATAAATAGAAAATAGTAAATGATTCAGACGTCTTTTTAGTCGAATTTTTTACCGTTCTTTAAAACCACTTAATTTACTCAATTTTTGGCAAACGTCATACCACAGGTATTCATGGATGAAAATTTCAAAGAAAAGCTGTCAGTCAGGAGTTTATTGAAAATAAATACTATCAAAACTAATGAATTGCGTGAAATGTAAGATTATGCGTTCAGTTTTCAATGTTGACATTTAAATGATTATTCTGAATTATTAAAGTAATTAAGACCTTTAGATGAGGGGAAAACACAAATAGAACCAATAGAAAATAAAGATATATTTACCTTAGGTTTAAAATAAATTTAAGTATAAATAGTAAATAATGGTAAATTATGTAAAAAAAGCTTGTTTATACGTGGGTCTCAGAAGTCCTCATGCTTAAATTTCTCAGCCTGTTGTGCGATTCGTGAGCTTCTTGGTGATGGTAGGAGGTATTTAGTCATTGGTTAATCTTTAGAGTGATTTTTATTTTTCAAAAATTGAAACATATGATAAGGATGAAATCCTTAACCCGTTTTCACACCAGGAAACTGACAAGAAAGAAAGACGAAGAAATAAGAAACTAGCAAATATGGGAATTTTCGTTGGAAAAACAACACCTAAAGTGCTGGATAAAGCAATAGACTTTGAAAATAAGGTGTCGATATTAAAGTCTGAAAAGCCAGATAAAGCTGCAGAATTGAACATTAAGAAAGCTTGGCAGTTGGCAGCACTCAAAGCTCAAGGTAATATCTAGTTTGTTCATTTTAATTCATTTTTTAGGCGTTAAAGTAAAAACAGATATCTCCAAAATAAAGAAGACCACAAAGAAATTAGAGAAAAAGAAACAGCAAAGCGCCAAGCGGTGGCAGGAGCGACAGAAGTTGGTTAAACTGGAGCATTCCCTTAAACAAAGGAAACGACAACGGAATATTGACAACAGACGAGTTAGCAAACGTTCGAAAAAATATAAACGCTTGGTTAAAAGGGGTCATATCCTTCCTGAACTTCCTAAAGAGTAGATCATTTGTACAGTGTAGTACTTGTATACATATCTTGTATTTTTATGTATATTCTCTTTTTTTATATCTTTATCCTTATTTTTTACCTTTTTGTGATATTATTAACGCAACTGTTGGGTGTATTCGATCCAATTTGGCCCTCGTTGCTTTATGTTAATATTCGGGTTTCTTTTGTTGGTACTTTCAATCCATAATGCGTACTGTCTACATTTTTGTTCTTATTTTCTTTGTAGTAATATAGTAAAATCTTTTGCCTTTAACTTTAATGAAGCCTTTCTTTAACTTAGGCAATTTATAACTTTATTAGTTTTTGAAACTATTAGACTTTTAGTTGTATTGTTCCGATTTCATGTCGACGTTGAGCAGTAAGTATGCCACATTTAGTATATCAGTGATTGAAATTTCCTTTTTCGTGATGATCATGGCCTATGGTATTAAAGCAATTTCCTTTCTGCACTGATTTTCATAAATAAGTTAGGAGTATTGCGATTTCGAAGGAAATCGTAACCTCTGTGTGCTATTTTATTACTACTAAATGAACCTACTTAATATTCTCAGTAGTTTTATTCTTATCTATTAGCCAGAGAGCGTCTCCCGGGGCTCCCGTACATTTAATACAATTGTCATTCGTTTTATTTTAATCACAGCCACAAACAGATAAGTATACCTTTTCTATTCACTAAGTCTTGGTTTCCTTTCATTCTATTGCACTTAGGATTTCATTTGTGTTTTCTATGTCGTTAGGCCCATTGCAAAATTAGCGCATGCCCCTATGTGATCATTCGTAGGTTTTGATTTCTATCCACATATTAATAATGCTCAGAGGTGTGGAAGCTAGGCATCCACTTATCTTCCTGTGATCACTACTAATAGCACCATTACATTTCATAGCTGAGCCACTTCAAGCCAATTCCTATTAATAGCACAATTCAAAAGTCCGTACGGTGTATCATATTACAATGCATATGTTATTTGCAGAGGGGGAAATACAGGGAGAAGAGGCTGTATAGATAAAATGGGAATAATTCGTATGCGTGAAGGGGGAAGATATAATGCTAAAAGAGGCGGTGGCGAGTCCTTTTTGATACTTAAAGTTACTGAGACACACAAATAAACGCAGTTAAGCGATGAGATTGGCCACGTTAGTAGTAATGATGAGTACAACAATGCCGGAGTTGGGGAAAAATTAAGGGAAAGATAAAAGAGAGCGGGGTTAGGAAAGAACACACACACACAAGTAGATGAAAACAGAATCATCAGTCTCAGGACTGTTGTCGGGGTGGAGTTTGCTTAAACGGAACAGATTGAGGGGGCGACGAGAAAGGAAACAAGTTGGAGAATTCACATTTTGCTGCGTTTGCGTTCAGGCTCATCTGACATCCAGCTGTCTCTATGATCCCCGCCTGATTGACCCTGTAATTGCTGCTGATCGTCATAGTCGTACATCACCGGTGCGTGTGGATAGGAGGGATTCACGTGCTAGAGTAAAAAAAAGTGATGAACAAACGATCTCAACTGCGTTACCAAACTTAGCAATGTCAAAAAGGCATCGACTTGTATTATTTAAGCTGACACAATTAATTATGCGTTATTTCCTGGGCTAATGTCAGTAATGGGTAACGATACACATTAGTCGGGAAATAATTACGTATTGAATATGGGTCTTGGATGCGTTTGTTGACTACTGTTCATATAAACAGATATTTGGATAAGCCAGCGACTATTATCAGGAAAATTTGAAGAGGAATTATAGTGAATCTTAAGGAGTTTCAAAGCGGTAAAACTGAAGAACTAATTGTTTATTTTCATGTGCTTCCTGATTGAATTTCACTTCAGAAGCCATCATAAACATCAGACAAATGTAACGGTATCAGCTCTCCCAGTTTCATCGCAGGAGGTTTTGCCAATATTTGACTTGAATAGGTAAAGGTGTACTTTCTGGCTGCTCGAGAGGAACACCTACTTTTTACCACCACCCCCCCCCCCCCAATGGCCGTAGGTAAGGGATACCATCGATCACTAATAACAGACCTTGACTTGACAGACGTGTACGCTGTCAGTGACCTAGGGTCAATAATCCTATGTATATAGCTGTACTGGCTGGTTGCTGTTTTATTTCACACAACAGGTAGGTTAGAGCAACAAGCACGAAAGACACCTAAGGTTGAATCATTAAAGAGAAATCCGACACCGAATTTAGGGATACATTTTTAAAGCAAAATAATTGGCTCTTTTGCTCGACGTATTCGAGGATATCTCGTACGCTACGATCCTTATAAAAGTCCATTTATATACACGATGACTGGAGCCGAGCTTAACCGCGAAAGAGAATTTGCTGTATTGCAAAGATTAGCGACGGTCATCAGAACAATGTGAAAACGATCCAGCAAGAACTGGATAGTTGTAATTGAGGCTACGAGGCTGCTGTGATCAGAAAGTAACACAGTAGACGATATAATCCGATTGTATCCGCTCAACAGATTTTCTATGAAATCTAATCTAGAAATGTGCTTCAGTACCCTAGCATCGCAATTGGGACTTTGTCGCCGCATGCTTCAACCTACACACTATGAAACTGGCATTAAATGAGGACCTTCGCTAATGCAAGCTTATGGGAACATCGTAGAAGTTGACTTCTCACACTAAAGGTGCTTAAAAATGATCTGACAAGGACGAAGAAGCTTCTGAGTGGAATGCAATATTCAAGTGAAACACAAAGAATCTACTTCTTTTTTGATAAGAAAAGCTTTGACCGAGATCAGAAGCACGATAGTCAGAATAATGGCTGGCTTGTATACAATTCAAAGAACACTACCCGAGACGTGCAGACTCTAATTTCCAAATTGGCATGATTTCTGGATGTGTCCCCTTCGAGAATGACGTGATGTCTCCATCCACTAATTTTTAAAGTGGAGTTTTGACTAAATTGAGATGCTGTGTGGAATCCCTGCGGTTGCTAAGTCCTGGATAAAGGACAGTGATAGCTACTAATTGGGGTCTATGTACATGGGGAGCGCGATTGGGCCCCATGCCACGTCTCGGGGAAGTCAACAATGGTTGCCAGCCAATTTTTACGACTAACTAGTCCCAGTGTTTGGCATTGAAACACCCAGATCTTAACCCAATGGGCTAGTGTATACGTGCATTTGGCCCTGTGGAGGAAGACACTACTACAAAAGCCAACCGGTAACTGGATAGAATTAAATTAATTGTAAAGAATACTGACAAGAGAAGTGCAAAATCGGGGCAACGACATTTGTTAATAGCGGTTATATTGAAGAAAAATCTTTGAAAGCAGTGTACTTCCCCCGCCTATTTTGTACTTGTCAGTTCCCTTACCTGATCATGATGAGATTTGCCTATTTAATCCGAATACTCTGTATAATTATGATGGACTTCCTCCTGTTGTCATAACTAACTTATTTAACAACACAAAAAGGGTAAGAAATCATACAAAGTACTTTAGTGCATTACCACGGCAATGTGAACATTATGGGCCTAATTCCTTAAAAAAATAAGAACCTGCAAAATTGGGTTCAGTTGGATGAAATAGGCACCTAAAACGGTGCTGTGGGTCATTAGGCTACAAAGTGAAAAAAAAGATGAGGAAATGACTTCCCCTAATCAATGATATGAAAAATCATGGATACACCAAAGTGCAGACGACTAAAATAAAATGAAAGTGCCCATTTGAAAGCCGTTGGTGGGCATGAAAATACGCATAGAAAAGATGGGGGTAATATTTCACAAAGCGACAATAATACAGACAAAGTAGAGAAAATGGGAAAGCAGAACTGGAACTATGGGCCTTGCTGAGGGGAAGAACACGTAAAGAGACTGTGCCTAGACAGTCGTAACTTAAGATCTGCAAAGCGGTCCAGTAAATGACAACTACTCTAGATGTCGGCTTGTGAAAGCCAACTAGACTCGTGCGAACACCAGAAATTGAGATAGTTTGCGACTGCGCAACTTAGCGTTAGGCTGGAAAAAAAGCTAAGATTTACGACCACTACAAATAAGGTAAACTCAATTCAAGAGGTCTTAAAAGCAGACCCTATGAAGGAATAAAGAGGATTCCAAAAAACAACTCAAATCAATTTAAAGCCGTCCACGTTTTCGAGTAAACACAAAATCGATACAGACGGAATGAATGCTTACATCATCAGGCATTCCATGGGGATGCGGCGGCAAACGTCCAGTTCCTTCCGAAACCGCAGCTGCGGCCGTCATGGCTGCGTGCATATTCGCTTCCTCCTTGGCCTTCACTATGTTCTTCTTGTAGCGGATTCGCTTGTTGCCAAACCAGTTGGAAACCTACGCAAAAAGAGATGAACGTATTAGGACACACATAAACAGATAGACACTTTGCCCAAATGAGACTTCTGCATTGCTGCACAAATTGCTTAACTAATGTCTAAATTAATATGCTTTTATGGGTCGACCCATGATAGACGCATCCTCTGAGAGTTGGGATGATCAGGGAACCTAGACGAAAGGTCGAAATATGGAATATTAAATTACAGTGAGAATGAGTACAAATATTAAGTCTGAACTTGATGAAAGAGGGTTGCTTTCATGATTTAACTTTCATTTGCAGCTTTTCCCTCATCCAACAATCCATAAAATCTCATTTTGGATGGGTCCCCATAATTGCGAAATGCATTTTCAACTAAGAAAAAGGTCAATAGTAATATGGAATTGCCAGACCATAGAGGAATGAGGTGCTGCATTTAGGCGACTCATCTGTCCAAGAATAACATACCTGGGAGACTGTAATACCACACTTCTTGGCGAGTTCCTCCTTAGCCTCTTCCGATGGATAAGGATTGGCAAGATGCGAATAGAAATATTCATTGAGCACCTCGGTTGCTTCTTTGCTGAAGTTGCGACGTTTACGTCTGAAATGGAGATAGAGGTTTAGAAGACAACTTTCCTCTTTTCTCGGTATACATGAAAATTTGCGGCATATCCTAAGCTGAAATTTAAACAAGAAGCTTATTCATCAAGCATTCAACTCCAAGTCATTTCATTTAATAAAATCAAGATTGGAGATTCTCGAAAAGAAGCACACCAAGGAGGAAAATTAGTGATGTAGAAGGAGTAAAATGTGCAGATACCATAAGCATCCAAATTGTACCATCATTGTCAGAGACTTAGATAAACAGATTGACTCGAAAAATGGCAATAAATTGATTGGATGAACAAATTGTAGTTAAGTAAAACCCAACCCTTGAAATAGAGGAAATTAGTTTGTAGAGCAAATAAGCGTGGGGATAATGATTGGCCAATTAAACAACTTGAGAATATCCCATTCCCAAATGATGTGACTTTTAAGGCTGGGCCAAAATCCAAGTAGGAATGCAATACCCAGGAATAAAGCAGCAGTTATGTAATGACAAAATCAGGAGTATTAAATAGTTAGCATTGCTCCCATCCCCCTCCCAATTCCTTACCTCCATTTCGCCAATACTCAGGTACTTCCAAATAACAATTAAGGATACATGACCAAACATATGGTACCTAATCAGTTTGCGCTTTCCTCCTCCGTAAAAATTTGTTTAAGTGGCATGGAAACTGGAGGGAAATACAGGGGGTTGGGTAGAGGAAGATATGGATTCCTCTGTAGCCAAATGGGGGCGGGGGGGGGGGGGGGGGGGGAGGGAAAGAGGGCAAAACTTGGTGAAAATGGAGAGAGCGAATGGCATTTAATCTGCGAATGGTTGAAATGAGGTCAGAATAGCCCACATCACCATCACCACCACCAATGGCGCACACGCAAGAAACAACACCGCTTCATAACACAGCAACGGCTTTAACGTGTGACTGATTTTTCATAAAAAAAACAACAAATTTCTGACTAGCTTCGCAGTGCGCTAATTTAATGCAACAATAGCTGAGACGTATTTAACGACTGCACATATAAGCATATTGCATTTTACAAAACAACATAATCACTCCTCAAATAGAAGTTTAAAATCGATATATCTTAAATGTGAAACTCCTTAATCTATGGTAGGCGAATGAAAGCCTACTCAAAATATAAGTAGGGGGGACTTTCAAATTTCTGATTTCAAAGTATAGTGGTCTAAAAATGGCTGGGGTGCATTCAAACGATGAGCAGAGTTTGCATAAACCATTGATTTTAAAAAAATTGAGAGCAAACGCAATTTCACATTACCATGCAAGTTATATATGCAAAGCAAACTAAGCTGTCAACTGGGATGACAAGTGAAGCGCAATTAAATAGCCTCAAGAGATAAAAATAGAGACTCTTCAATCGTTTTGTCCATGAAAAAAGGGAAGATAAGTGAGAAAAATCAAGTGGCACACGAGAAGTGGATGAAGAAATTGAAGAGAAAAGGAGACATTTAGTGAGATGTGATCAACCACCAAAATTCTTACTGGCTACAGTTTATCCACTGCGTTAAAATTTAAGGGGAATACCCCTAATTGCATTCCGAAAAACTAACACCTTTTTCAACCGACAGACAATTCCAAAAAAACCTTCTTAAATGATGTTAGAATCACATTATGACACTCGGAAAAATTTGTGACTCTGTTGAAAGTAAGTGCGAATTGAGAGAACAATATACTAACCTACCCCACATTTAAATCCAAATGTGCAAGTAGATGTAAGGACAATTAGACGTTTCAACAGCTCTCCCACAACCAAAAATCCAATTGAAGAGAGAAATACTGATCAGGTGTCAAGCAATTTTACACCTCCCCCCCCCCCCCCCCCCACCACATCATCGCAAAATATTATACAATATCCCAAACTCTACCCCCAGAAGCAAAAGTGTCATTGCGACCTCAAATGGAGTTTAAACAGATCAAGGCGGATACAAGAGGAAATCCGAGAAGAATTAAATTAAATTAATTAAAGTAGTGCTAACGTTATTCAACTAAAATTCAAGCTTGATGCATAACATTATTCGACTTCCTTAGGACCCCTAGATGTTATAACTAGGGCAATTGACAGAATTGACTAAGACATTTTTGCATTTCCAAATTTTGGAGTCGTTTTTAGATAAGCCACATGAAAAAAATGCATGAATGTTTATCAAATAGGAATGTGCTCCCTACACAGACACACACCCGTTGTCGGATTGCATAAATGACAAGACTAACGAGCTTACCCAACCTGATTGACAGATATCGGGGCTCGCTTAAAGGCCACTTGAGCAATTAGCATAATTATATTTACAGCAACTCAATCATACCTAAAACCTGGTATCTTGAGGTCTCCGCCATAATTGGCAGTAACGCTGTTGGGGGTAACAATGTGGTCGAGTTCAAAAATCTCAATAGCACTGTGCCGATCACAGCATATCTCTCTTAAGAAATACGACACTAGGCAATACTACCGGTCTCCTTCATTTTCCAAAGACCAATGACAGAGAAAACTGAAAGAGGAACTAGCTCAATCAATTAATTTCAGTTTATAAGTGAACAATATGAGACCGTCCTTTTGTTGCCTTGGTCTTTTCTAGTCAAAATATAGCAGAGCATAACTTCAATACCTTTTGTGTTCTCAAAAAAGAAGGACTCTTGCTTTAGCATAGTGTACGAAACGCCTGATATTGATAAGACACGTCGTCTTAAATTGAATAGATATTGGCATAGCAACCAATAAACGCATCCTTACCCTATCATTTGACAGTTTCACAGCTAAAGCCATTTGCCTTGTCTAAAACACAGATATCAAGAGTCTATACTCTTTCAACAAAACCACAGTTACACTAACAGTACATACGAAGATCTCATCAGAATGGGACTATAAGACTCAATCATAATTAAGGTCTACATTTCTCCAGAGTTCTATCATGATTGACATATCCACTTTGTGTCGACGCCGTTAAAACGCGATGTGCTAGGAGGTATGCATTTCGATATTGGTAATATTAATAATATTTTCACAATAAATGAGAGAATTTTAGGTGAAATTACAACAGTTTACAATTCATATAAGCAGAACAAACTAACCACCTTCCTCGCTTCCTAGTATCACTAATACAAACCTTACTTGGTATCCTTAATCAAAGGAACTAGCCATTACTTTCTAGTCACCCAAATATAGCAGTGAAGGTGGAAATGACTCAAACCTCACCATGACTCACTGTTAAGCAGTATTAGAAGCAACAAATATTCCAAATACTACTTATAAGTTCCGTTTCCAAAAAAACTATGGGTCAAACACGAAACACGTACAAGAAAAGCTGGAAGTGGATTCTGAAAAGAAAGGCCGATTCCTCACTTCCCTCCTTCGCCAATAATTTAAACTTCATTTCATTTTTTCTTTCCTCAAAAAGTTTAACCAAAATCAAGAAAGTAACCCGGAAGGAAAAGGGAACGTAGAATGCCTAAGCTAATATCGATTAGCTTGTATATTTTACCTCAATATTAATGGATTATACCAACTACAACTAAGTGCCAGGCGGCATTACAATTATAACCATATTAAACGAGATATAAATAGCCAATGCCAGAGCGAATCAACACTATAACACCCGATTTCTTGCAGTAGCATAAATAGAAACTAAATGACACCTTGGAAAGAATTAAAGTGGCAAATTCATCCAACTTGGGTAATTCTAAACTAAAATAGGGCACTTTGGATCAAAATATTTGTTTTGAATGCTTATCCTCCACCCTCC